CAACAATTTCCATAGGTAATGGTGAATTTAAAATAATAGAAAATCCAGTAATTTATTATTATTCAACATTTTTGTTTTGTTTTGTTTTTTTGAGACAGTCTTGCTCTGTCACCCAGGCTGGAGTTTAGTGGTGCAAACTTGGCTCACAGCAACCTTCACCTCGTGGGTTCAAGTGATTCTCCTGCCTCAGTCTCCTGAGTAGCCGGGATTACAGGTGTGTGCCACCATGCCTGACTAATTTTTGTATTTTTAGTAGAGATAAGATTTTACCATGTTGGCCAGGCTGGTCTCAAACTCCTGACCTCAAGTGATCTGCCCACCTTGGCCTCCCAAAGTGCTGCAGTTGTAGGTGTGAGCCATTGCGTCCAGCCTATTATTTTAAATTTAAAACAGAAAACCCTATTACATACTAAGCAGTGGGCTCTTTTTCACAGATTATTTAATTCCAACAACCCCACATTACCAGCAGAGAAACTGAGATACAGAGTAATTAATATGCCCCAAATCAAGAAGTATTAAGTGGTGGACTTCCTAAAAGGTTGCTGTCATTGCTCAGCTCTATAAACTCAGGACCATCTCCTTATTTTAGATTTCCGTCTCTAAGATTTACTCTAAATGCTCATGTCAGCTATGGCCATGAACTTGGAATGGCCTTACACTATTTTTTTAACCCAGATCTTACGTACATTCACCCTTCTCTGAATATTTGTGTCTTCTCTAAGCTTTATACAATTCATAAACTCCAAAATGTAAACTAACTTGCAGATGCTGTTCCCTTTCTGTTAGTCATATCTCACCAGAGCATTTCCAAGTCCATGACTGTAATTCAACAAATACAGATTAATAAAAATTACTCTCCTTATACTTTTTTTTAAAAAGCCTGTGAAATAAAAAAAAAACTATCTATTAATTGCAAAATTGGAAAATGTAATTGCAAAGTATATTATCACTGCTAGTTGAGAAGTGAAAAGGGGAAAACAGTTTGTTTTTGAATTACTATAAAAAATCTGAGGCTGGGCTTCTGCAGGCTTTATATGAAGCACAGTGCTGGCATCTGCTTCTGGTGAGGCCTCAGGAAGCTTACAATCATGCTGGAAGGTGACGGGGAGCAAGTATGTTGCATGGTGAGAGTGGGAAGAACAGACAGAAGGGGGAGGTCCCGGATTCTTTTAAACAACCAGATCTCATGTAAACTGAGCAAGAACTCACTCATCACCAAGGGGATAGAGCTAAACCATTCATGAAGGATTTGCCCCCATGATCCAATCACCTCCCACCAGGGCCCACCTCCAACATTGGGAATCACATTTCAACATGAGATTTGGAGGGAGCATTCAAACCACATCAAATAGGGAAGTGTTAAGTTTTATGTATCCCTCAAAAATTGTATGTTGAAGTCCTAATCAACATTGCCTCAGAATCCAACCTTATTTGGAGATAATGTCTTTATAGAGGTAATCAAGTTAAAATGATGTCATTAGGGTGGGCCGTAATCTGACTGATGTCCTTATAAAAAGGGTAAATTTGGTGACAACCACACACACAAAGAGAACGCCATGTATAGATGAAGGCAGAGATTGGGATGATGCTTCTACAAGACAAGAAATGCCAAAAACTGGCCCCAAATCACCAGAAGCTAGGCTAGAGGCATGAACCAGATTCTCTCTCATGGCCTTCAGATGCAACCAGCTCTGCCAACACCTTAAGCTTGGACTTCCAGGCTCAAGAAATGTGAGATAATAAATTTCATTGTTTAAGCCACCTAGTGTGCTGTACTTTGTTACAGCAGCCCTAGCAAAGTAATAAAGGGAAGAAGGTTCTGAGTAAATTAAACAGTGAGATGTCACTTTACAAACTGTTAGAAATTTGTAGTGCACCATCAAATTTGATAGCACATCTGCTTCTAAGATTCTTGAATAAAGCTACTTAGTGAAGAGGGAGAAGGAAGAAGAGAGTGAAGAGGATTTACAGAAGAATTGGCCAATTAATAGAATAAAGGCTTTTGCCCATAACTGCCTTAAGGTGCTTTAAATCTTTGTCTCTTACTATGCCTACCACCTGCTCCTACCATCACCACTAATTTTTTTCAGTTTCAAATAGAAATTTTTTGTTGAGTTTTTGATGAGGTATTATAAACTTGTATTTACTGTAGTCCTTCCTTCTCCCCCATCCTCAGTTTGTTACTTACAGTCAACTGTGGCCCAAAAATATTAAATGGAAAAGTTCAGAAATACACACTATTCTAAATAACATGAGGAAATCTCATTCCATCCTGCCAGGAGGTGAATCATCTCTTCGTCCAGTGTATCCACACTGTATATGCTACTCTCCCATTCACCATGGATAGATATCATCTGATCCTGACATCATGGCTCGATGATCCAGGATCACTCCAAGCAAAATATTCTCCTGAGGTATTGGCAGAAGGTCAGCAGTAGCCTAATGCCAGGTACATTACAATGCCTATGTCATTCACCTCACATGATCTTATCATGTAGGCATTTTATCATCTCATATAATCAGTAAAGATATTTTGAGAGGGAGACCATATTTAACATAGCTTTTATTACAATATATTGTTATAATTGGTCCAATTTAACATTATTAATCTCTTACTGTGCCTAATTTATGAACTTTATCATAGCTGTATATAGATAGAAAAAAACATAATATATATAGGGTTTGGTACTATCTAAGGTTTTAAGCATCCCTTCCCCCCATCCTCAATTTCAGTTACTTAAAGACAACTGTGATCCAAAAATATTAAATGGAAAAGTTCTGAAATACACACTATTCTAAGTAACATGAGGAAATCATGAGGGAGTTTTCTGGTTCATATTTTTATAGGAAAGGAAGGTCATGTGTGCTCATTTTATTGTTCTAACAATTTCTCTTGACCCCACTACCACTTCCTGGAAAGATCCGTTTTCAAAACAGAGGTTCAATTTTTATATAGTCTTTATTTCCCCCATTAGAATTCACTTGACTCAGGACTTTTATGTACTGTGTCATTTAATCATGTTTCAAATCCATCCAAAGTCATAAGCTTTTACTCAATGTATGCCCTTGATTTAAAATATTCTCAATCTCCCTCAATTTGTAGCACACAAAACTGAAGGCATATTTTAGCTTATAATCATGTCTTTTTTCTTAAGAAAATTATACTACAGTTTTCTTAAAACCTTTTATATAGAAATAATACCAACAATAGTGTTTGGTAACCAAATAAAAAAATGAAAGTACTAATCAGAAGATATTGGCAGTTTCAGAAAAATATACTGGAATATGGGCCATGAACAAAGGAAGCTTTTGTCTTTTGCTTTCAACTTTAAACGCACTCAGAATTTAGAAAATAGGAAAAGACTATCTTGCCATATATTGCTCACAAATTAGTTATAACATAAGCTGCATGTCCTGTTCTTCAAATTCCAAGTATTTCAAAGGGACATGACTTGGGTAACAGTTATGCTTCACATAGCTTGGTATCTTATCTGTACATTCCAAAGAATTTAATTTCTATTATATACAATTAATAATATATACAAAAGTGATTACTTTCTCTGAAGTCTTCCAGGTACCCAACAACTATTAACAACATTTTTAAACAATTCTAACAAATTGCCTAAAATTTGTGGTTGATGATGGTCAGGAATGGTAGTTGAAATCGCCCCTGCCTTTTAATGCTTACAAAAGCCAACTGAGGCAATAACCACACCTGATACTTCTGACCTATCCAGAGAGACATACAACAACTTTCCAACATCCATATTTTTTTCTTCTTCCCTCTCTCCCTTTCTCATTTCTACTACCTATTTCATTTTGCTTTTTCTTCAGTTAGCTACTGACACCTACTCAAAACTAAAGCTATTTCCCTAGTACCTCTCCCTCTACTTGCCAAGCTTCAATTAGAAAAGAGAAAACTGGCTGGGCATAAATGGCTCATGCCTATAATCCTAGCACTTTCAGAGGCTGAAGTGGGATGATTCCATGAGGCAGGGAGTTCAAGACCACTCTGGGAAATATTGTAAGACCCTGTCTCTACAAAATAATTTTTAAAAATTAGCCAGGAATGGTGGCACACACCTGTAGTCCCAGCTACTTGGGAGGATGAAGCAGGAGGATAACTTGAGCCCAGGAGATTGAGGCTGCAGAGAGCTACAATCATGCCACCACACTCCAGAGAGAGAACCTGTCTTTAAAAAGAATAAAAAATAAAACTAAACAAATAAAACAGATATCAAATCTCTTTAAGAAAAAAATACGTTTATTTTTCACTGTTTAACTTTGCAATTAAAATTATACACGTTGTCTGCCAACACTTTTTGTCCACTGTTTATTTCATTAATCCTTGAGTTATAAACTTTATAAGGCATAGACTTTTTTTAAATAAATGTCTTTAAATTTTCCCATCCTGGCCAACATGGTGAAACCCCGTCTCTACTAAAAATACAAAAATGAGCTGGGCGTGGTGGTGCATGCCTGTAATCCCAGCTACTTGGGAGGCTGAGGCAGGAGAATTGCTTGAACCAGTGAGTGGGAGGCTGCAGTGAGCCAAGATAATGTCACTGCACTCCAGCCTGGCAACAGAACGAGATTCCATCTCCAAAAAAAAAAAAAAAAATTAATTAATTAATTAAATAAAATAAAATTCAAATTTTTTAGGCTCCCAAAAGACTTTAAAAAACAACTCATGTATTCACCACCAAACTTAAAAAACATTACATGGCTAGCAGGCAATACAGGGCAGTGTTTAAATAAGTTAAAATATGTGATTTACTCGGCACAGTACTCAGCATATGGTAACATTACCACTTTAGATATGATTACTAGCACAGAGCATGTACTCAAACAAGATTTCTGGATTTGTTTCACTTTCTATTCTGTAAGGAGAGACAGATTTAAACCAAATTTGAGATACTGTTAAGGATTTAAAGACATGCATTAAATTCGATTCACTATTTGGTCTTTAAACAAAATGTTGCCATATTTTTGCAATAAGATATCTTTTGTGTAGGTCTACACAAGTTATATTATTGCTAATTTTTATTAAGCTACAATTTTAAAGTGCACGTATGCTACTGCTTTGAAAAATTATTTTTAATATACCTTAATGACACTGCAAATTTCTAGATTGGATTTGTAAAACTGGGTTTTCAATCTGAACTTTGCAAACACTGTGAAACTGCTTGGAAAATATTTTATGTGTTTATGTACCTTTTTCGGCAAGAAAAGTCTGTAGCTTTCACTACTGAAAGGAATCTCTAACCTCCATCCTTGCAGAGCAAATAAGCACTGAGATAAAAGAAAACACATAACTTTACAAGAAAACTAATTGGACACAACTTGAAACGAAATATCCTTGACCTAATTTTTCTCATTATAAAAGATGACTTTTTTCCTGATTATGTAACTAATACATGTTTACCATTTTAAAAAAAGTTCATCTTGCTATAATAAATAATATGAATATATATCACAAAAAGCACAATATAATAGGTATTTTGGAATTTTTCAGTGCACAGGTCCAACTTCATAGTACAATATACTTAATAATGTATAAACTTCTATTTCATGATAGTAAATAAATCTGATATTATAGAAAGCTCTGCAAGAACTACTGGGACTTTGTAAAAATTTGCTATACATTGAATTTAATACTCTGGTTATTCAGTAATAAGTGTTTCAAAAAAGTACGTATTTTGAAAATTGCATCTTGAAACGTAAAAATGAAAAGTCTTACTTAAGGACAAAATAAAATGCATCTGAGATAATGTTAAAAGACTTACTTCAAAATAAGTCCTTATGTTTCAAAATTATTTTTTATAATATAAAAAAGGAATCTGATTTTCTCCATCAGAATAAAAATCAAAGGTCAAAAAAAGATACATAGAGAACACTTTCAGTAACCAGAAAATACTAATGAATTGAACATCTTAGTGAGTCACATAATAAAATGTTTCAGTTAGTCATGGAGTGGCACCCTGGGCACTACTGACAGGGCAAATAATCCTGAACACACATCTACTACCCTTTGCCACACATTCACCTGATGAAACTATCCTTATATTGCTACTTGTTTACATTTAGAAAATAATGGAGCTTAAAAAAAAATAGCACTGAAGTTACAAATGTAAAACATACCCAATACAAAACTTGGTCACTGTGATCACTACAAATTCCAAACGTTTTTCCTCACTCTTATTCTTTTCTTGTTAAGGAAAGAGGCTATTCCAATCCCCTGCAGTTTCTGTTATCAAATGCAAGATATACAAGGGCAGTAGGTCCTGTCTGTTCTCGTCAACATGTTACATACAGCACCTTGGACAGTGCCTGGTATAGGAGAGACACTCAATAAGTACGTGAGCAATGAAGAAAAAAGAAATAAAAAAGCCAGTTTGGGGACTGGAATGGGAGGTAGGAGTCAGGAACAGAAAATAAAACAAATATAAGTGAAATAATACTGGGAAAATGTCACTCATGTTGTCAAATCAGAAATAAATTTAAGCTGAGAACAATGCATTATTTTTCTTTAATACTTTACAAGAGGATGAATAGCCCTATCTCAGGCTGTATGCAACATTAAATTCCAAAATAATTTCTAATTTAAAAACAGCATTGAAGAATAATTTTTGAAGTATTTTCTTGTTTGTTTGTTTGTTTTCAGAAGTCTCCCTCTTGTCCTCCAGGCTGGAGTGCAATGGCGCGATCTCAGCTCACTGCAACCTCCGCCTCTTGGGTTCAAGTGATTCTCCTGCCTGTTTCCCGAGTAGCTGGGATTACAGGCATGTACTACCATGCCCAGCTGATTTTTGTATTTTAGTAGAGATGGGTTTTTGCCATGTTGGCCAGGCTGGTCTTGAACTCTTGACCTCAAGTGGTCTTCCTTCCTCAGCCTCCCAAAGTGCTGGGATTACAGGTATGAACCCACCATGCCTGGCCTGAAGTACAATTTTTTTAAAGCTCATTAACTTGTTACTATTTTGTAAAAAAAAATTAAGTTAGAAAACATTTATATAATTAATTTATTTGGGTACAAATTTATGCATAAAAAATTTCTGCAAGAACGTAAACTATTAACAATCATTTTCCCACTGAGGGGCCTAATGCACAAAGAAGGGAGCTTTTATCATTTACTTACATGGTTTTGTACTGTTTGAATTTTTTGTTTCTACAATCAATATGTACATTTTATAATAAAACTCATTTAAAAGGAAAATGTCCAATTTGTATTTGTGAAACAGGTAGAAATTCAGAAATTGCAATCTCTTATATTGATTGTCGGTAATACTAAAGTTTGCATTCTGTTTTATAGAAAGCCAGGGTCTCGCTACGTTGCTCAGGCATGAACTCCTGGGCTCAAGCAATACTTCCACCTTGGCCTCCCAAAGTGCTAGGATTACAGGCATGTATCACTATGTCTGGCCCAAACTACCATGGTTGGCCTGCACTTTCTATTTATTCTCTCCTTACTAAAATAACAAAGTGGGAAATTAAATAGATTAGGACAAAAGAGTGAAACAGACTAGGACAAAAGAAAAACAAAACATATAGATCGGCTTCCTCCAATTCAGGAAAAAATACTGTACTCAAGAAAAGAAAATTTTCCAAAAGCTCAAATCACAAACACCTATCTGTTAGTTTCTGTTATATCTTTATCATCATTGAACACGTGTTCAAATTTAGGGTTTTATGGTCTCCACAAAAGATAACTATTATATATTTAGTGCAACCAGGTACAAGACAGGCTCAAAAACAAACAAAACTGAATTGTTCATTCTAATAATAATCTACAGAATCCTTCTACATAAATTTAAAAAATGATCTCAATAGGGACATCCTAAGTAAAGGAATATCAGAGAATGTTATTATAGGTGGGCTGGCCATAAACTTGTAAAATGTAATTTTTTAGCTCTTTTTTTTATGAGATGGAGTCTAGCTCTGTCATCCAGGCTGGAGTAGTGGCACAATTTCGGGCTCACTGTATCCTCCACCTCCTGCGTTCAATCGATTCTCTCGCCTCAGCCTCTAGAGTAGCTGGGACTACAACAGGCATGTGCCACTACGCCTGGGTAGTTTTTCATATTTTTAGTAGAGACAGGGTTTAGCCATGTTGGCCAAGCTGGTCTTGAACTCCTGACCTCAAGTGATCTGCCCTCCTCGGCCTCCGAAAGTGCTGGGTTTACAGGCGTGAGCCACCATGCCTGGCCACTAGTTACTTTTTACTGTTGAGGTACTTAATTACAAAATGATAACTTTAAAAGGTATGGTTCTTGAACAATGACACAGGTATCAGAAGGTAATAATACTAAAAAAAAGATCTGTGAAAAAGCTTTCAAAATAAAAAATTTAAATATAATTTTAAAAAATGACAGAAAAACTATGGATTTATCATGTGTAACATGTTTGAAATATCTATACATTGTGGAATGGCTCAATACAGCCAATTAATGTGCATTACCTTACGTGCCTTTTGGAAAAACCACTTAAAATGTACTCAATAACTTTCAAAATTCATTGTTGTTACAGTCACCAAGCTGTACAATAGATCTCTTGAACTCAGTTTCCTTGTCTAAAACCAAAATTTTGCATATTTTGACCATCTCCTCAATCCTCCACTGCCCCACCAGCCCTTGATAACCAAATTCTGTTCTCTCCTTCTATGAGTTCAACTTTTTAAGATTCCACATGTAAGTGAGATTATGTAGTATTTGTCTTTCTAAGCCTTGCTTATTTTACTTAATGTGTCCTCCAGGTTATCACAGACGAAAGGATTTCCTTGTTTTTAAGCATTAAATACTATTCCATTAATACCATTTTTAATATATTTAAATTATATCCATTTTGGAAGTAGTAACAGCATGCTTTGATGGTGGCTCACTAGAAGACACTGTATCAGAAATCCACAAATTAACCAATTGTTTCTTATGATGTGCATCATTTTGCTGGTTGGCCTGTTCATCCAGTGACTTTCTTATACAGTTCTTTAATTCTTCGATTCCTTCTCCAGTAACTGCAGATATGGGGATGATATGCTGGAACTCTACAGTCCTCTCTGGAGTCATGTTTTTTCCAAATAAATGCAGAAAATCTAAAAGAAAGAACACAAACTAAGCAGATTTTCATTGTTTTTGAAAGTTAGTTAAAATTTTGGTTTGATTTGTGAAGCAGGGAACCAAAAACAGCATTTTTCATGCCTTTTTCCCCCTTTTCTCTCTAATTAAAGTTCTCAGAGCTTTGGATTTTACTATTGATTATGGTAAGGTTCTTGGCACAAAATATACTTGTTAGATGAATATATTTTAGACCAAACTAAGTATGAATAGAAGATGAATCACAAAAACGACTTACTTAAGGAAGTAATAAATTTTGTGTAGGGGGTTAAATAAGGCAAGGCAGCACTGATTCTCTGAAAGACACTTTCTGTAAAAATAGTAACATCATTTATAATTTGAGACATTCTACTTGGCCTTAGGACACTGGAGACCTTTAACTTCCCGAAAGTATAGGTTTATCATCAATGATGCTAGGATCCATACAAAAACTGAAGAGGTATTATAGAGAATTCAAGGGAAAATAATTTCAGATGAGTCCAATCTATCACCCCGCATGGGCTAACAACTGTTATATTACTTTTATCTTTTCCCTGTCACCATGGAATACTGATTGGCTGGGGAGATGGCATACTGATTGGATAGATTAACTGATATGAACTAGAAAGGCTGAACTGAAACAGATTGGTGGAAAAGACAACATGGAGCTTGCTTTCTGAGATTCAAAGGTCCCCAAGAAAGTCCAGAGAGGCTAACTCAGGATTATCACTTAAAGAGCCTATATTTTATTTCACAATAGGTCAGAACAGCTATGGACTCCTGAGTCACCCCCACTTTTGGTACTTCCTCTGAAAATTCCCTTCTCTGCAAGATCAACTAGCAAACAGAACTAATGACCTTATAAAGCAAATGTCATTAGGAATGAAGACTATTTACTATTAGGGAATATTTATATCCCATGAATAATTTATTAACTCAAGGACAGCTCCAACATGTAAATTACACAGGGGAAAGATTTTTGAGAGGAAAGGACCTTCTGGTGCTCTTTGACAGTCTTAGCACACTATAATCTATTTTCCCACAATTGTTACCAAGAATAAAAAGAGACATATTACTGAAAAACATGTTAGCCACATACCATACACCCTGCTTTTCCTCATTTGTGCATGAGGTTCTTTACTAGACTCTGAATGAAATCATCATTGCCATAGGATACAAGGTGTTCTGAAAATGTCAATATTCAAAACTGTGGAGAGTCCCTTTAAGTTACTTTACATATAGTCCAAGAAGTAAATTCCAGACAAACAAATCATTTTGGAGTCACAGCTTCTATTTTTCTGTGTTACACATACACAGGAAAAATGCAGTTCTTTTCAGAAGACTCATCCTCTTCAGAAACTATCTATAGAGTTAGTTTTGCCAAGTAACATACTTCTTTAGAACTTCTTAGTTCTGTTTTTAATTTTATGATGTACAGTACTAGGGGAATGAAGAGCTTGTGAAGTATGTTAATGAAAATGAAAGACTTCACAGGGTAGATGCCGACTTTTTCCTCCTTTTATTCAAATCCCACATATGCTTTATGGGCCCAATTTAAGTTTTATTCTTCATGAAGCCTGACCTTTTTAGTTCAAATTAATCTTTCTTTTGTCTCCTTTAATTTACTGTCCATATCAAACATTCTAGAATTTGATAATTATTATGTTACAATGTTATTTATATGTTTTGTACATTCTTTCTTCAAACGTGACTTTTAAGAGCAGAAACTGTCAGTTTTCTTTTCCACTGATTATAATAGCATTCTCTGTACATTGTAATTATTCTTTAAATTAGAATTAAATGAATAAATAGGCTTACCTTTAGGATTCTGGAGTTGGTTCATCAATTCATGGAACTTACTTTGGGCATCTGGCAAGTCCATTTTATTAACTGCCAGAAGTGCAGGTTTTGTCTGAAGTTCCTCTTTGTACAATTCCAACTCCTTTAAGTCAAAAGAGAAAACCCAATAATTTTAGTATTGGTTTCTGTATAAATTACTTATTTGGTAATTAATGACCTAGGTGATCTAAAGCCCATTCACATCACTGAAATGCAATAAATCCCAACAACAGAAAACAAAAGGAAGAATTTCAAAAAATGATTGTGGTTAGATCAAGTGTTAGTATGTTTTAGCTTAAATGATATCCTAGTGACAGTTGTAATTTTGCGTCTGGAGTCAAATATGGGTATCTGGACTGCACACAGATAAAATTCAGAAGTCAGTAATGATCACTGAATGTTATACCTGTAGTATTCTTGGAAAACGTAAATGTACTTAGGAATAAATCTCTGTCGCCTTGGATTAAACAACTGTTTCTTAGATATAACATGAAAAGCACAAGTAAAAGAGTAGATAAAAGGCGGAAGCCTGCTTAAGGCTACCAACCAGGAGTCTGAGGCTGCAATGAGCTGGGATCATGCCTGCACTCTAGCCTACATGACAGAATGAGGCCCTGTTTGTAATAAAAATAAATAAATATATAAGGCTTGGCATGGTGGCTCATGCCTGTAATCTCAGCACTTTAGGAGGCTGAGGTAGGAGCATCACCTGGGCCCAGGAGTTCAAGACAAGCCTTGACAACTTAGTAAGACCCCATCTCTACAAAAAACTTTAGTTTAATTTAAAAAAAGGAAAGAAAAGAATGAAACAAATGGAATTTCATCAAAATTAAAAATTTTGGGTTGTTTTCTTGCTATTGAGAGTTGTTTTGCTTCCTTATGTTTTGGATGTCAACCACTTATCAGTTATATGATTTACAGGTATTTTCTCCCATTCCCTTGGTTGCCTCTTCACTTTGCTGATTATTCCTTTTGCTGTGCAGAAACTTTTTAGTTTGATGCAATCCTACTTGTCTATTTTTCTTCTTGTTGCCTGTGCTTTTACTCCGTCTCAAAAAAAAAAAAAAAAAAAAAAAATTAATTGCTCAGACAAATGTCATGGACCTTCTCTGTTTTCTTCTAGTGGTTTTATTATGGTTTCAGGCTTTGAGTTTATGTCTTTAATCAACTTTGAACTGATTTTTCACATGGTGTGAAATAAGGGTCTAATTTCATTTTTCTGCATGTGGAAATTCAGTTTTCTCAATACCACTTATTGAAGAAGAAAACTGCCCTTTTCTTACTGTGTGTTCTAGGTTCCTTTGTTGAAAATTAACTGTAAATGCATGGATTTAATTTTGAGCTCTGGATTCTGTTCCATAGGTTTATGTGTCTATTGTTATGCCAGTACCACACTGTTTTGATTACTATAGCTTTGTAGTAGGTTTTGAAATTAGGTAATGTGAAGCTTCCAGCTTTGTTCTTTTTGCTCAAGATTGCTTTGGCTATTCAGGGTCTTTTGTGGTTCCATACAAATTTTAAGATTTGTTTTCTATTTCTGTGAAAAATGCCATTAGAATTTTGATACAGATTGTGCTGAATCCGTAGATCACTTTGGGTAATATAAACCTGATTTAAAAATGGATAATGAACCTGAATTGACATTTCTCAACAACATAAAAATGACCAATATGTGAATATATGTATGAAAAAATGTTCAACATCACGGATCATTAGGGAATGAAAAGGAAAACCACAATGAGATAGCTCCTCACATTTGGAAGGATGGCTATTATCAAAAAGACAAAAGAAAACAAGTGTTATCAAGGATATGGAGAAAGAAGAACGCTTGAACACTGTTGGGTGGGAATGTAAATTAGTACAGCCATTATAAAAAGCAGTATAAAGATTTCTCAAAAAATTAAAAATAGAACTACCAAATGATCCAGCAATCCCACTTCGGGATATATATCCAAAGGAAATAAAATCAGTACGTCAAACAGATCTCTGCACTCCCATTTTTACTGAAGCATTATTCATAATAGCCAAGACACGGAATCAACCTCAGTGTCCATCAATGGATGAACAATGAAAATGTGATATACACACACACAACTGAATACTCTTCAGCCTTAAAAAAAGAAACTTGTCATTTACAACAACATGGATGAATCTGGAGAACACTATGCTAAGTGAAATAAGCCAAGCACAGAAAAACAAATAAACTGCATAATCCCACTTATACGTGGAATCTTAAAAGGTTGAATTCATAGTAGCAGAGAAAATGGTGGTTGCCAACGTGTTTGGGGGAGGAAGGATGGAGGGGTGTTGGTCAAATGGAACAAAGATTCAGTTAAATAGGATGAATAAGCTCTGGATATCTATTGTACAGTATGATGACTATAGTTAATGTATTATATATTTGAAAATTGCTAAAACAGATTTTAAATGTTCTCAGCACACACAAAAAATGTAAGATGACGAATCGTGTTAATTAGCTTGATTTAATCATTTCACAATGTACACATATATCCAAATATCAATTGTACACTTTAAGTACACACAATTTATGTCAATTACACTTTAACAAAACTGGAAAATTAAATAAATAAATGTTTTTTGCCACAAAGAAGACACAAAAAATACACTGAAAAAGTGAAAAGACAAGTCACAGAAGGGGAGAAAATATTTTCAAATTATGTATCTTATTTCCAGCCAGGCATGGTGGCTCACATCTGCAATCCCAGCACTTTAGGAAGCCGAGGTGGCAGATCACCTGAGGTCCGGAGTTCAAGACCACCCTGGCCAACACGGTGAAACCCTGTTTCTATTAAAAATAAAAAATTAGACAGGTGTGGTGGCACGTGCTTGTACTCAGGAGGCTGAGGCTGCAGAATCACTTGAACTCAGGAGGCAGAGGTTGCACTGAGCCAAGATCGTGCCACTGCACTCCAGCCCAGGCGACATCCCAAAAAAAAAAAAAAAAAAAGAAGGGACTTATCTCCATAAATATAAAACATGCTTACAACTCAACAATTAAAAGACAAATAATACAAATAGTAATGCACACAGAATCTGAACAGACTTTTCTCCAAAGACACAAAAATGGCTAATAAGCACATAAAAAGATTCTTAGCATCAGTAATCTTAAGAGAAATGCAAATAAGAACTATAACAAAATACCACTGCACTCCCACTAGGATGACTAAAGTAAAAACGACAGACAATAACAAGTGTTGACATTTATGTGGAAAAATTGGAACTCTCATACATTGATGGTGGGACCGTAAAATGGCACAATGGTGCTACCAATTCTGAATAGTTTGGCAGTTCCTCAAAATGTTAAACAAATAATTACCATCTGATCCAGCAATTACACTCCTAAGTATATATCCAAGAGAAATGAAAACACGTCTATACAAAAACCTATACACAAATGTTCACAGCAGTATTAATCATTATAGACAAGAAGTGGCAAACCAAATAGGATCTATAAAGTCCTGGAGGTAAGCAACATCATGTTGTCTTAGAGAGAAATCACATGGCTGAAATACAGCATCTTGGGGACAGGGTTACGGAGGACTGCTAGGCAGGGGCCCAAATTTGCAGACTTCATAAATCATGCTCAGGTTAGACTTTAACCTAACAGCTATTGGGGTCCATCAAAGTGTTTTAGGCAGGGAATATCAGCATCAGCTTGGTGCTTTTACAAAGATCACTCTAGCTGCCATATAAAAAATGGACTGGAGAGAAGCAAGGCAGGACACAGGGAGACTGGACATGACCAGATTCAATATTCCAGTAAGAAGGACTGATGATTAAAACAGTGTAGACGAAGACAAGAGGATGGATTTCAGAGAGATTTAGGATTAAAAACTGACAGCACTTGTGTACGTGGTGAGAAGAATCAGTGTATCACACAGTTCATACATTCACTAAGTTATGGGGATGGCTGAAAAGTTTTTTAAAAGTTTACTTTTATCCATATTAAGTTTAAGTGACTAATGGGACATCCAAACAAAGACGACGTCCAATGTGCATCTGGTATAAAGAACAACAAAAGCCGGGTGCGGCGGCCCACACCTGTAATCCCAGCACTTTGGGAGGCTGGGGCAAGTGGATTACCTGAGGTCTGGAGTTCAAGACAAGCCTGGCCAACATGGTGAAACCCCGTCTCTACTAAAAATACAAAAATTAGCCAGGCGTGGTGGCAAACGCTTGTAATCCCAGCTACTTGGGAGGCTGAGGCAGGAGAATCACTTGAGCCCAGAAGACAGAGAGAGCTGAGATCATACCACTGCACTCCAGCCTGGCAGACAAAGCAAGACTGTCTCAAATAAAAAAAAGAACAATGAAAAGATCTAGGTATCAGCTACAGATCTGGCAGTTATCAGTATTATTAATCGTAACTAAAGCAAATGAGAGTGGGTAAGATTGCAAAATAAGGTTAGGACAGAACTTTGAATAATGTTACTTAAAGGATGAGGAAAAAAAAGAGCCTAAAAAGTAGACTGAGAAATACTGTTAAGAGTAGAAACAGAACCAGAAGATTACAGGTCACAAAACTAAGAATGAGAAACAAGAAGAATTAGACAACGTGCCAAAGCTGAAGCAAGATAAAAGTCTGGGAAAGTATGTAATAGGGATTTGGAAGCCCAGGAGTATTTCATCCATTGCAGTAGTTTGAGGAGTAAACGAATGTAGAGGAACTGGAGACAACAAGTTTAAGTAATTCTTTAACTGACATCAAAGCTTTAAAGGCAGAGTATGCATAGACTGCAATTATGTTATTTCATATAGTCTTATATTCCTACATATTAGACCAAATACAGAACACAGTAAAACAGAAAACCTACTTTTGTAAGCAGTATTATGGTTTCAAAAGCAGTTCTGTATTGAGTGTGAGAAGAAAGCTGAAATCCAGAAATATCAACCTAAAAAGAGAAGAGACAGCCTTTAACATAATAGCTATACATCTCTATGTTTTAAAATGTTTTACTCTCTCAAGCTAAAAACAATTTCTCTGTACTCTACTTGTTATTTAGTAATTCAAAATAAGTAACGGAAACAGAGATGTTAAGATAACTTTAATTATTCTGATAAAATTCGTCATTAATAAAAAACTAGGATAAGACAATTTGTATGAATAAAGACAATCTCACATATAACTCTAGCACCATCAATGAAGAATGAAAGAGATACTATGATACTATATAATACAGTAGTATGTTGGAAATCTTAAGGAAATACATGTTGGCAAGTATGGCCAAACTTACATATGATATAGTAAACAATGTCACTTCCATTCCCGTATTATAAAAGACTTAGTGGAGTACCATATGCTACGACTTTCTTATTTATAAAAAAATTCTTAGAAAAACTAAATTCATTGGTTTTCAATTTATTTGAACATCACCACATTAGTATGCATATGACTTACAACAAAAAGTAGTTGTCTAGTTCTTTCTATATGCTTGAGGAATTTGTGGCCCATTCCTTTGTTCATATGTGCTCCTTCTATTAAACCCGGAAGATCAGCTACTGATATCTAATACAAAGTAACATGGTTAATGAAAAAGGAAAATGTATGAAAACCACAAGTTCAATTACATCCAAAAATTCTCAAGATATTTCAAATATAAACAGTTCCTAACTTATGATTACCACTAAATCTTTGAAAAGTCAAGATACTATAAAAGCAAAATTAATGTACAGTATTAAGAATTAAAATCTTGTTATCAGATATTAGAGTCCCATATTTACTATCTATCTAATAATCGAGGAATTTTACAGATTAGTTTAACATTTAATTATTATTATTTTAGAGACAGGATCTTGCTGTCACCCAGGCTGGAGTGCAATGGTGTGACCATAACTCACTGTAGCCTCGAGCTCCTGGGCTCAAGCCATGTTCCCACTTCAGTCTCCTAAGCAGCTAAGATGCCAGGTGCGCACCGCCATGCCCAGTTAACAAAAAAAATTTTTGTAGAAACAGGGTCTCGCTATCTCGCACAGGCTGCTCTCAAACTCCTATCCTTAAGTGATCCTCTCACCTTAGCCTCCCAAAGTGCTGGGATTACAGGCGTGAGCCACCACACTAATCCCTAGTTTAAAATTTATTTATAATGTCCTAAATGGTATTGTCCAACATGAACTTTTCACAGAATTTCAACCTTTACACTCTGAATTCATACACGTTTACAAAGATATTAATTCAGCAGACATTTACCAGGTACACCTCTGTATTTTAAATTCAATTTGTAATGATCTGGCACCATTGTTCCTTTTCTGTTCATATTATACTAGCAGGATGATCAACCATTCTCACAAAGTATTAGGTTGGTGTAAAAGTAACTGTGGTTTTGGCATTACTTTTAAGACTTTACTACATTAATAGAGGTGTGATTCTCCTCACCTGTTCTTTGTAGTGCCATGTTTGTTAATGCTTCACATTTTTGTAGGTCATTATTGTTTCTACTTAAGCAAATCTCATGGCATTACATGAGGAGCAGAGCTCTATCATCTAGAAGTTCATTCACCTGAGCATGCTTCCTTGTCACCTAGTCATCATCTCATCTTGTTCCAGTATTCAAGTAAGATCAGTCAGGTGAAACAGTATTCGACAAACCTGAGTTGTAGTTGTGGCTCTCCTACTTTCTTCCTCTTTGGCCATTACTTTTTTTTTTTTTTTTTTTTGAGACGGAGTCTCGCTCTGTCGCCCAGGCTGGAGTGCAGTGGCCAGATCTCAGCTCACTGCAAGCTCCGCCTCCCGGGTTCACGCCATTCTCCTGCCTCAGCCTCCCGAGTAGCTGGGACTACAGGCGCCCGCCACCTCACCCGGCTAGTTTTTTGTATTTTTTAGTAGAGACGGGGTTTCACCGTGTTAGCCAGGATGGTCTCGATCTCCTGACCTCGTGATCCACCCGTCTTGGCCTCCCAAAGTGCTGGGATTACAGGCTTGAGCCACCGCGCCCGGCCGGCCATTACTTTTAATGGCTAAAACCATAGTTACTTTTGCACCAACTTAACAGAAGAGTACAGTTTCCTAGACTCCTTTTAGAGGGAATAATAATTATTAACCATCATTCTACATTTGCTTTTTTTTTTTTTTTTTTGAGAGAATCTCATTCTGTCGCCCAGGCTGGAGTGTAGTGGTTCAATCTCAGTTCACTGCAAGCTCCACCTCCCGGGTTCACACCATTCTCCTGCCTTAGCCTCTGGAGTAGCTGGGACTACAGGCACTTGCCACCATACCTGGCTGATATTTTTTTTTTTTTTTTTGTATTTTTGCATTTTTAGTAGAGATGGGGTTTCACCATGTTAGCCAGGATGCTCTCGATCTCCTGACCTCGTGATCCACCCACCTCAGCCTCCCAAAGTGCTGGGATTACAGGTGTGAGCCACCACGCTCGGCCACACTTGTGCTTTTCAAACCTCACTGTGCATTATAATCATGTAGGGAACTCTTAGAAGCTACAAATGCCCAGGCCCTACCCCCAAGAGATTTAGTTTCAAATCTCTGGGGCCTAAGCATCACTTATCATTGCTGTTCTTAGACCACCCAGATAATTCTGAAGTGCAATAAAGAATGAGAGGCAGTACTCGACATCCCCTGCCCAGTATAAAGAATTCAGGGTTTTAAAGGAAGCTGACAAAGCAGCATGCATAACAGAAGTCTCAAGTCCTGAAATTTCCTCTACTGATTTCCCTTAAAAATTAGGTATAAACGATGTTCTCTTTTCCTTTAAATATTGTTCTCTCTATTCATATTATCCTATATTTAATACAATTTTACTTACATTTAACATTCTATAACTGAAGTTTTATATTTTAATGTTATATCACTATTATAACGGCACATAATTTTTAAATGTTTCTTTAAATTACATCATAAAACTATATGAACCTATATTGATGCATCGTTAGCACCCAAAGTCTATACTTTACATTGTTTGATTCTTGATGCTGTACATTCTATGGATTTTAACAAACGTATACTGTGTCTACCATTACAGCAATATTCTGTTGCTGTAATATTATACAGTATCATACTTTACTATACGTATCATACTTTATAGTATATCCTAAAAGTTCTCCGTACTCTGCGTATTCATCTCTCCTTCCTCCCTAACCCTGGCAGTCATTGATTTTACTGTCTCCACAGCTTTGCCTTATCCAGAATGTCATATAGTTGGAATCATACAGTCTTTTCAGATTGGCTTCTCTCAGTTCGTAATATGCATTTAAGGTTCTCCTAGATCTTTTTGAGGCTTGATACCCCAGTTCTTTTTAGAGTTGAATAATAATCCACTGTCTAAATATATACCACAGTTTATTTACCCATTCACCTACTGAAAGATATCTTGGCCAAGATTTGGTAATTATAAATAACGCTGCTATAAGCATCCATGTGGAGACTTCTGTGTGTGCATAACTTTTCAATGTACAAGGGTAAATGCTAAGGAGCACACCTACCAGATTGTACATTATATTTTAAATATTGTTACTTTCCTTTTTTTAATTTTTATTCTAATTATGCAGAAGATCCACAGTTGTTACTTATGAAGGAAAAATGAATTTTAATAGCTGGTTGAGACCAAAACTCCATTAAAACACTTTTCTTTTCAAAAAAAGAAAGTTGGAATAAAATTATTACCATGAACTTTAGAGAGCATTTTTAAAAAATGAAGACAAATAATCCAATATAGTAGTAAAAGGAAGACTTGCAATAAGAAGCACCAAGACCAAGAAGACATAATGTTGTAGGGATAAACTGAACCTAACCTTTGCAAGAAGAAATTAAATATTTTATTATGATAGTGCTCAGAATTAATCTGACCAGTTTCACTTATAAACAAAATCTTGTTACCTTTTCTCCCCTAACACCACAGAAACAGGCAAATACTATAAAATCCAAGTAAGTACCAAAACCAAGTACTCTGACTTCTAATATAGTGTTTTACTTTAAAAACACCTACCTGTTTGAAATCACGGTACATAATCTTTCCAAGTTCAGGCTTTAATGTTGTAACTAGAAAAAAACACAGCAATAAATTAAGAGTAGAATTTATTTTAGGGCTGGTACTCTCAAAACTGTCTTGGCATTATGCGTGGAATAAACAATACTTCAATTCAGATTTTGCTCTAATTTGCTAAAATGGAAACTATTATTATCTTTGCTATTTAACATGTACTTGGAGGGCCAAGTGTTGTGGCTCATGTCTGTAATCTCAATGCTTTGGGAAGTCAAGGCAGGAGGATCATTTGAAGCTAGGAGTTCAAGATGAGCCTGGGCAGCATAGTGAGACCCTGTTTCTACAAAAAATTTAAAATTAGACAGACATGGCAGTGCACCTGTAGTCCTAGCTACTCCAGAGGCTGAGGAGGGAGGACTGCTTGAGCCCAGGAGTTCGAAGTTGCAGTGAGGTATGATGATCATGCCACTGTACTCCTGCCTGGGTGACAGAGCTAGATCCTGTCTCTAAAATAAACAAATAAATAAATAAATAAATAGTATTTGGAAAAAGACAAATACAGATTTTTATAATCTGCATAGGCCTAATGTAATTACTGAACCTCAACGTTCTTCTATTGCACTTTAAGGTGTGCGATAGATGTTCAGGAGGGTCAGATATTAGGTTTCTATCACTGGATCTGTGGGTGAAATTTTTCTAGTTCCTTCTCATTCAGTTATCCTCTAGTTCCTTCTCATCGTTATCCTTAAGCCTCATCAATCCCACACTAGCCTCTTTCCTATGACTAAAAGCTTTTCCTTCTCAAGTCCTACATATTATAACAAATATTGGCCTTGTAATTTATAGCAATTAGCCCAAACTTCACTCTACTTCGTCAGTCTAATTTTAGAACGGCTTGATTTTATTTTCCAAGTTAATAGCATTCTCTATCCTTTTAATGATGGCAGAGATCTTATCATACTCATTACTTTTAACCAAAGCTTCTTTTATATCTCATCTAGCTACCACAAGAGCCTACTAACTGGTTTTCTCAGACGCCTTCATGTCCCACGCCAATCCATTTTCTATATTATAGGCGGAGATCTCTGTGAGGAGCAAACTTAAGCATTTTGTCCCTTGCTTAAATGCTTCCAATTGCTCTTAAGATACAAAAATCAAATACAGCCTAAACGGTCTATGTGATATGCTCTCTTACACCTCCAGGCTCATCTCGATTCTTTCCCTTACCTCATGTTCTCTAGACACACAAATCTATTTCCTCTGATTAAAGATCCTTCACCCTCCACTCTATTTTACTAATTAATTCATAATTATTCCTCATGTATCAGTCCAAAATCACACATCCTTAAGGAAGCCTAAAGCAGTCATCTACACTCTTTCATAGTATCCTTTTATATTCCCTTATATTTATCAGTGATATATATGCCTTACTCCACTAGTCTACAAACTCAATAAAAGTCAAAATAGGAGCTGTTTCTGTTTATCAGTCTTTGTAATCCCAGAACCTAATATGGCTCCTAAAAATAAGTATCTGCTAAATGAATGGAAGTACTCAACGCAGTCTTCCTGGTACTTATCACAGTGCCTGATAAAGGGTAAGTGGTTCATAAAATCCTAACTAAACCAAATAAACTACTATGCAACAGAAAAATAAATGCAATAAAGTGTCTAACCTGTTTAAGAAACTTTGCTGAGGGGTACAGAGGTTTCAAAGATCAATGGAAAATATGGCTGGGGAGGGTGGCTCATGCCTATAATCCCAGCAATTTAGAAGGCCAAGGTGGGAGATCACTTCAGCCCAGGAGTTCAAGACCAGCCTGGGCAACATAAGGAAACCCCTGTCCCTGCCCTGCCCATCCCCCCACCACACACACACATACAAAATTAGCTAAGCATGGTGGCACACACCTGTAGTCCCAGCTACATGGGAGGCTGGGGCAGGGGGATGGCTTTAGCCTGGGCTGCAATGAGCCATGATCATGCAACTGCACTTTGGCCTGTGCAACAGCACTCTATCTGCCAAAAGTTTTCCAACTAAGGATACCCTCAGAGTTGTCATTTTATTCATTCTCAGAGAAGTATTAGTCTTTAAAAGTTTACCTCCACTCATTAAAATATACAATCAAATTATACTTACATGCGTAATCTGCGATTGCAGGTTTTGCATGAGAAACACAACTTAGCAAAGAGGATTTTCCAGCATTTGGGAATCTGAAACAAGAATATAAAATGATACACAAATGTCAATATTATTATCTCTGAATTCCTAACAATTCAAGTAGTCTTCTTGAATATATTTGGGATTAAAAGTAGAATATAAATGTATTATAAATAATCTTGAAAAACTTGAGAACATACACTTACAAAAAAGGTAAAGATAAATTCATGCTGGACACTGAAGATGTTTCAGCACTGAAAGTGTATAATAATTATTCTAATTATGATTTAAAAATAAAAACCTGTTGGAAGTCATAGAAAAACAGAAAGAAATTAAAGAAAAAAAAGAAAAACACCTGCAACTTACTATCTCCAGCTAAACACTGACAAAATATTACATTGTTTTGTAAACTGCTTTAAAAAAAAATTTTTACAGAAATTTTCAAACATATATATACAAAAGTAGAGAGGTGTAATGAATTCCATTTAGCTATCACCCAGCTTCAACAAATATTAATACATTGGCAATACACTTCTTAAAATTTGATTTGAATAGAAACCCAAATAAGGTCTGTACGTTACAAATACCTGATGTGTCTCAAATCTCTTTTCAAGCTCCCCCTTCCATCTTGTTTCCCATCTGCAATTTTATTTTTAAAGAAACTGGGTCATTTGTCCTAGAGTTTCTTTTCCGAAGTCTGCATTTTTCTACTGGCACCTACATGGACACTTAACATGCTCTTTTTCCCTGTATTTTCTGTAAAAAATTTGCAGTTGTTACAGAGTCTTAACCATGTTCAAGTTTTAATATTTTTTTGAAGGAAGCAGGGGAAAACTACTTTATAGTTAGTTGGCCTACTCTCTAAACTGAATAATATAAGGTGAACACTTTTCAGTGGTGAAGTGTAATTTACTTAACTAATTTCCTATTGACAGACATTTACGTTGTCTACAATTTTTCACTCTAAATAACACTGTAAAAAATACGTATACAGGTAGACACTGTTAATAGTCATTTCTGGGTGGTGGAACTCACAGACACCTTTTTCTTTATGCAAACAAGTGTGTATTATTTGTTTTTCTAAACAACTTTAAACAATGCAATGACTATGTTTAAACCTTTGCAACTTTTTTTCATCTTTTCATGGCTTAATGGCTCATATCTTTTTTTTTTCTTTTTTCTTTTGAGACGGAATCTCGCTCTGTTGCCCAGGCTGGAGTGCAGTGGCGCCATCTCAGCTTACTGCAAGCTCCGCCTCCCGGGTTCCCGCCATTCTCCTGCCTCAGCCTCCCGAGTAGCTGGGACTACAGGCGCCCACCACCATGCCTGGCTAATTTTTTTTGTATTTTTGTATTTTTAGTAGAGACGGGGTTTCACCATGTTAGCCAGGATGGTCTCAATCTCCTGACCTCATGATCTGCCCGCCTCGGCCTCCCAAAGTGCTGGGATTACAGGCATAAGCCACTGAACCCGGCCTATTTCTTTTAATGTTGTTATTTCAATAGCTTTACGGGTAAAAGTGATTTTTTTGTTGTTGTTACATGGACAGATTGTGTACTGGCAAGGTTGGGATTTTAGTGTACCCATCACCCAAGTAATGTACATTGTACCTAATAGGTAGTTTTTCATCCCTCACAGTCCTCCTATCCTCCCTGCCTCTAAGTCTCCAATGTCCATTATACCACTCAGAATGCCTCTGTGTACCCACAGTTTAGCTCCCACTTATAAGTGACAATATGTGGCACTTGGTTTTCCGTTCCTGAGTTACTTCCTTAGGAAGATATCCTCATTCTTTCTTATGGCTGAGTAGTATTCTACAGTGTGTGTATATCTAGATACACACACACACACACACACTCAATTTTCTTCATTCACTGGTTGATGGGCACTCAGGTTGATTCCCTGTCTTTGTAATTCTCAATGATACTGTGATAAACACGTGTGCAGGTATCTTTTTGATATAATGACTTCTTCTCCTTTGGGTAGATATCCTGTAGTGGGATTGCTGGATGAAATGATATTTCTACTTTCAGTTCTTTGAGAAATCTCCATACTGTTTTCCATATAGGTTGTACTAATTTACATTCTCACTCACCAGTGAATTTTAGTGTACCCATCACCCAAGCAGTGTATACTGTACGCAATAGGTAATTTTGCATCCCTCACTGCCCTTCTATCCTCCCTCCCATTGAGTCTCCTATCCTCCCTCCCTCTAAGTCTCCAACGTCCATTATACCACTCCGTATGACTTTATGAGCATAAAAGTTAAGTTCCAAGATGGCCAAACAGGAACAGCTCTGGTCGGCAGCTCCCAGCGAGACTGACGCAGAAGATGGGTGATTTCTGCATTTCCAACTGAGGTACCTGGTTCATCTCATTGAGACTGGTGGGACAGTGGGTGCAGTGCACGGAGGCCGAACCGAAGCAGGGTGGGGCGTCGCCTCACCCGGGATGTGCAAGGGGTTGGGGGATTTCCCTTTCCTAGCCAAGAGAAGTCGTGACAGTCTGTACTGGAGGAATCGTACACTCCTGCCTAAATACTGCACTTTTCCCCCAGTCTTCACAACCGGCAGACCAGGAAATACCCTCCTGTGCCTGGCTCAGTGGGTCCCAAGCCAGTGGAGCCTTGCTCACTGCTAGCACAGCAGTCTAAGACTGACCTGCCATGAGCTGCAGCTTGGCAGGTGGAGGGGTATCCGCAATTGCTGAGACTTGAGTAGGAGGTTTTGTGCTCACAGTGTAAACAAAGAGGCCTGGAAGCTCAAACTGGGTGGAGCCCACCACAGCTCAGCAAGGCCTACTGCCTCTCTAGATACAACCTCTCTGGGCAGGGCATATCAGAACAAAAAGCAGCAGACAGCTTTGGCAGACCTAAACGTCCTAGTCTGACAGCTCTGAAGAGAGCAGTGGTTCTCCCAGCATGGCGTTCAAGCTCTAAGAAAGGACAGACTGCCTCCTTAAGTGGGTCCCTGACACCCGTGAAGCCTGACTGGGAGACACCTCCCAGTAGGGGCCAACAGACACCTCATACAGGTGGGTGCCCCTCTAGGATGAAGCTTCCAAAGGAAGAATCAGGCAGCAATACTGGTTGTTCTGCAGCCTCCACTGGTGATTCCCAGGCAAATGGGGTCTGGAGTGGACCTCTAGCAAACTTCAACAGACCTGCAGCTAAGAAGCCCAACTGTTAGAAAGAAAACTAACAAACAGAAAGGATTAGCATCAACATCAACATCAACAAAAAGCATATCCACACCAAAACCCCATCTGTAGGTCACCAACATCAGAGACCAAAGGTAGATAAAAACACAAAGATGTGGGGGAAACCAGAGCAGAAAAGCTGAAAATTCCAAACACCAGAGAGCCTCTTCTCCTCCAAAGGACTGCAGCTGATCGCCAGCAAGGGCACAAAACAGGACGGAGAATGAGTTTGATGAATTGACAGAAGTAGGCTTCGGAAGGTCGGTAATAACAAACTTCACTGAGCTAAGGGAGAATGTTCTAACCCATCGCAAAGAACCTAAAAACCTTGAAAAAAGGTTAGATGAATGGCAAACTAGAATAAACAGTGTAGAGAAGACCTTAAATGACCTGATGGAGTTGAAAACCACAACACGAGAACTTCATGATGCATGCACAAGCTTCAATAGCCGATTCGATCAAGTGGAAGAAAGGATATCAGTGATCGAAGATCAAATTAATGAAATAAAGTGAGAAGGCAAGATTAGACCAAAAAAAGTAAAAGAAACAAACAAAGCCTCCAAGAAATATGGGACTATGTGAAAAGACCAAATCTACGTCTGATTGGTGTTCGGTACCTGAAAGTGCGAGAATGGACTCAAGTGAGAAAACACTCCGCAGGATATTATCGAAGAGAAATTCCCCAACCTAGCAAGACAGGCCAACATTCACATTCAGGAAATACAGAGAACACCACAAAGATACTCCTTGAGAAGAGCAACCCCAAGACACACAATTGTCAGATTCACCAAGTTTGAAATGAAGGAAAAAATGTTAAGGGCAGCCAGAGAGAAAGGTTGGGTTACTGACAAAGGGAAGCCCATCAGACTAACAGTGGATCTCTCGGCAGAAACCCTACAAGCCAGAAGAGAGTGGGGGCCGAGATTCAATATTCTTAAAGAAAAGAATTTTCAGCCCAGAATTTCCTATCTAGCCAAACTAAGCTTCATAAGTGAAAGAGAAATAAAATCCTTTACAGACAAGCAAATGCTGAGAGATTTTGTCACCACCAGGCCTGCCTTGCAAGAGTTCCTGAAGGAAGCAGTAAACATGGAAAGGAACAACCGGTACCAGACACTGCAAAAACATACCAAAATGTAAATACCATTGACACTACAAAGAAATTGCATCAATTAACGGGCAAAATAACCCGTTAATATCATAATGGCAAGATCAAATTCACACATAACAATATTAACCTTAAATGTAAATGGGCTAAATGCCCAAATTAAAAGACACAGACTGGCAAATTGGATAAAGAGTCAAGACCTATTGGTGTGCTGTATTCAGGAGACCCTTCTCATGTTTAAAGACACACATAGGCTCAAAATAAAGGGATGGAGGAAGATCTACCAAGCAAATGGAAAGCAAAAACAAAAAAAGCAGGGGTTGCAATCCCGGTCTCTGATAAAACAGACTTTAAACCAATAAAGATCAAAAGAGACAAAGAAGGCCATTACATAATGGTAAAGGGATCAATTCAACAAGAAGAGCTAACTATCCTAAATATGTATGCACCCAATACAAGAGCACCCAGATTCATAAAGCAAGTCCTTAGAGAGCTACAAAGAGACTTAGACTCCCACACAATAATAATGGGAGACGTTAACACCCCACTGTCAATATTATATCAATGAGACAGAAGGGTAACAAGGATATCAAGGACTTGAACTCTGCTCTGGACAAATTGGACCTAACAGACATCTACAGAACTCTCTACCACAAATCAACAGAATATACATTCTTTGGCAGGGCGCAGTGGCTCAGGTCTGTAATCCCAGCACTCTGGGAGGCCGAGGTGGGCAGATCACGAGGT